TGACTAGGGGACTTGCTTCTCGGGCCCCCTCCTCCTCATCTACTTGCCCTTGGCCCACTTCTTCACTCTGAATCTTACCTTGGCTTTTGGTCAGCATTGAGCAGCAAAGCAACATAGCCACTGCGGAAAAATCCCCACCACTAATCGGGGGGATGGGATACCCACGGAGACGGCCAGGCGGGGAGGGGAGGAAAACGCCGTTGAGAGACCGTCGCTCAATGATTGACGATAGTGAGAGACTATCGAGTATGGTTCCGCGCCGTCCCCCAGGCCCGCAAAGACTTCTTCCTGTATGTCATGCGGGCAATTAGGTTCAGCGGTTCTCGATCCGCTCCCCGTCCGTCGATGGGAACCATGGTTGATCAAGAACTCTTTACGAGAGCGGGCATCGACCATGATTTGCGTCCCGAGGCAGATCCCCTCTGTGCCATTGACGGATTCTCATACACAATGCTCATCCACTGGGACCGCCGGAACCTACCGTATCTTATGGCGCGGTGTGCGGGATGGTATCTCCCATCTTTTGTATCCTCGGATGAGGAGTTTGTTTTATGGAAAGCAATACCCTCCGGCCTACGGGAGGCATCGTGCAAAAGCAGGGCTCAACGCAAGATCTTATAGTTAGTGCGGGCAGAGAATAAGTGCGACCAGAGTAGGGATGGAAGGGAAAAGGAGGATTTAATCATGGACGAATTGATCGACTTTTATCCTTCATCGAGTTTTTTTTTCTGGATCCAAAGGCCCCCGTTTTGGGAGCCATATGGTCTGCGGTGGGAGTCTGGCTCCACCTGGAATCGGAGGAGGGGGTGTCATGCCTTCTACTTAGTGCAGGCTCCGCCTGGACCGGACTGGAGGTGGCAGAGCTGGGAGAGGGGGTGAGTATTATCCCTACCTAAAATAGTATGACGGCAGACCGACAAACGGTGGTTCGGATACCTGGATCCTTCCTTTGATGTAACATGTCATGCTGCGTTAAGTTACTCCACGATGGAGAGGATATCTGCCGGAGAGCATGCTAATTCAAGCTCAAGCGCAGCCTGAATGCAACCTCTTCTCAGCTGGACGTGAAAGGCATTGGAAAGGAACTTAGGGAACTTCAGGGACGGGGGATGAATCCAGGAGGAGGAAGGCTTGTGGGTGCAAAAGAAACAGACCAGAAATGGCTGGAACCGGTCGAGAGGAGAGAAGCTGGAATTACTTACTTAGTACTTACTGAAGATTACGGAGATTACCTGACACGAGGGGATACGGAAGCGATACTGTTAGCGGTATTTGGACCCGAGAGTCGATCCCTGTCCCTCTAATCTAGATCTCCTCCAATCAGAGCACGGACTCCCCACTACTTCTCAGTCTTTCGCATTGGATTCATTTTCAGTCCTGGCGTCGAGCTGACCAGCCAATCGAGAAAAGCAATGCAGCCTTCTCTTATTTTTTTTTCTTCGCTTTCCCGGCTGGAACTATCAATCTGATCGGGGGATACATATCTTAGGTTTCATGCGTCCTCGTGTCTAGCTGGTTGCAACCCATGGAAGCCAAAGAAGAAGGCGAAGAAGCACACTTTCTAGTGGTAAGAGAAGGGGGAAAAGCCTGCCTGACTGGTCTGGGCAGGCCAGATATGAATCGGCCATGGCTCCAAAGCGAGCTTCCTCCGAGGTCCAGACTCGCGCGTTGTTGCTCAAGCTGCCTGACTATCTGTCAATCAAAATCTGCCGTGATTAGTTCTTCTATACAGACCACCGCTATAGACCGCAAACAGACATGGATAGGAATGGCAAGCGATGATGAGGAATTATGGGATGGATAGATGGACGATACTGGTAGATGGATGGACGGATGGAACTATGCAGGTCTGGTCTTTTGGTCTGGAATAAATCAAGTGCAGAAGAGCAGAGGAACAAATTAGATCAATAATACTACTCACTTATAATAATCAACCCAGTAAATAAAAATAAAACGGAATAAATCAAAAGGGAACGATTTAAAAAAATAAATAAATATAAATCAGAAAAGAAAAAGAAAACTTAAAAAGTACTCCCGAACGGAGACTGGACCGTTGATGAATGAATTTACGACTTGCCCATTGACGACGCCTCTTGCCATTTGCCTTTTCCTTCTTGGTCTTCCTTCTACTGAACCAGCTACTTACGGACTGTAACCTACTGACTGCAATCACTCACTCACTTCTATCCTCACTTACCTGCTACTACTTACCGTACTTACTTACTTACTCACTCACTCCTCATCTTCCTTCTTCTCCTCCGCCTCTCCGCCAATTGATTGGGATGCACAACAAGCTAAGACTGTGAGCTTCTCCGGTCGTTTCCCTGATCGTCCCTGCGGTGCCTGTGCCCTGGCCCGACCCTTTTTTTTCACTTGTCGCTCGCATTTAAAAACCTCCATGCTTTCTTTACCCACCCGCTGCGCACGCTTGACCCGCTTTCTCGCTTGAAGGCGACTGACTCCTCTACTACTGTAATCGATTTCCTTCCGTCCTGGTCTATCCGATCCATGTGAAGTTGTATGGTGCAGACGTCCTCTTTTCTCGCCCCTCCCCCCCCCCCCCCCCAAAAAAAAAAAAAAAAAAAAAAAAAAAAAAAACTCTTTTCCCCCCCCCCCCCCCCCCCCCCCCCCCCCGGGTCAGCTAACTCTTGGTCATCTTCTTGGGGTAGTCTATCCTATCAGACGCCAATTGTTCAGGGAGCGCAGATCTGGTGGCTCTAGAAAGTTGATACATGTCCGCTCTTCAGCTTCCGTAAGCGCAGCTCACTCGTTCCTCCAGTTCGAGTCTGAATATGCATCACTTTCTCCCCTTGTCTCGGCCCTAGACCGTCTCTTTGACTGGCTTCCCACCCATCATTGCTTTTTCTCCCAGAGCTATTGATCAGATCTCATTCCCCGGTTTCTTGATTCTTAAAATCCCCTCGGGGGTGTCTGATAGACAAATATCTTTGTTAAGCACTTGTCTCAGTGCCACCTCCACCACTTCTTCCACTCCCCTTACCCCCCCCTTTCCTGATATACTTCTCACTCTGTCTCTCTTTGTCTCTCTGCCTCTCCCCTTTCAAAGTTTTTTTCTTGTCTTATTTTCCCTCCAATATGGATACGGAAAGCACACATGCGCAAGACAATGAGTTTGCGCAATCACCCTGGGTGGATATGGGCGGTTTCAGTCCATCCGAGCAATCGCCCACCCTGGACTATCAGGGATTCGGATACGGTGTCTTGCCTATCGACTCTTCCTACGGAGTCTCAATTCCACCACCTTATGCATCAATGCCATTGACCATGACCTCCAACACATGGCCCAGCATGCTCACAACCCAGGGGCCTTTCCCGGATGCAGCGATGCCTGCAATGCCTCTACCACCGCCACCTCCACCACCACCATTGCAGCAACCTCAGCAAACGCCCACCATCACCTCTGTTACACCTGTCCCGCCACCGCGCAAGTCCTCGACCAGCGGCTCCACCCCACGGCGGACCCTCACCGATGAGGACCGTCGACGAATGTGTCTCTACCACGAGGAGAACAAGACGGCCAAGCAGACTGACATTGGAGGTAAAGTCTTCACGCCATTCCCTGATATGAACTCCTCGTCTAACCGATCCTGTTGCAGCACTCTTTGGTGTCGAAAGAAGGTAAAGTCTTCTGCTAGTTCCGCTACGATTGAGGCGGTCAAGCTTTCTCTAACACGGTTGGTTGAAGTACTGTATCGAAAGTCCTCCGTCAAAAGGAGAAATACCTCAACCCTGACGATGGCACCCGATCCCCCATCAAGCGGGCTAAAGGGCGAGTACCAGACATTGAGAAAGCCTTGTCTAACTGGGCGAAGAACTATCAAAAAAGTGGGTACCCTATTAACGACGAGATGATCCGGGAAAAGGCTCTTTTCTTTGCCAGCACCTGCGGTAGTCCCGATGGCAAAGAGAAGGTGTTGAGCACCAGCTGGCTTGAGAAATTCAAACGCAAATACAATCTCATGGGGGCCAAGTCTCGAAAAGGCTCCCTTAGTGCCAAGAGTGACTCGGAGAGCCCGACCTGTTTGAGCATCAACTCGGCATTGGCTTCTGCTATCCACTCTCCGACCGTCCTCTCCCCTACATCAACCACCGGATTCCTCAGCCCGTCACCTCTGTCCCCAATGCAGAGCAATGAGAATATCAGAGCGGAGTTCGCGCACAGCCTGGCCGAGATCACTGGCGATTTCCAGCATGCGCACAGCCACAGTACCACTTCCCTAGACACTTCCTCGACGTTCTCGGCTGGTATCACGAGTCCAACATCCACTCTGGTTACCGACAGCCCGTTCACACCTACGAGCCAGTCCCTTACTTCGCCAGTGGATGGCAACTCCAACCGACCCCGCAGCCAGACCTTCCCATTGGGCTCAGCTGACCCCAGCCTGATCTCTCCGGAAGAAAACGAGCAGTTGACAAAGGCTGCTCTACGACAGTCTATCTTGATGCAAGAGGCTACTTCCCTGGAGGAACAGCAAGATCAGAAAACTCTGCCGGGATTGGACACATCGGTGGGCACGATCAAACGAAATCGCAGCAATCCAGAGATCAAGCCCAAGACCACATATCCGCCGCTCTTTTCGAAATCTACTAACGCTTCTCCCGTCAGTTCCCCGGGATCACCCAGTCAAGATGAAGCCAGGAAGGCTCTGGAGTTGGTCATGAGCTATCTGAAGCAACAGCCGGCGGGTCTCGTGGCAGAAGATTATCTTACCATTGGGAAATTGATGGAAAAGCTCGAGCTCACCAAGCCATCGCAAGGCACCCTCCCGGGTGGTCTCACTCGGATTGATGAGCATGACGATGTGCCTACTCTGAACAAGAAACGAAGCATTCACAGTATGGGTTAAGCGGTATTCATCGAGATCGACAGACTCGCCAGAGATGCCACTATTCAGCCTAATGTATCATCATTCAAACTCGCAGCCCCGAATTTCGAAAGCGAAGATATACGACCTGCGGCATCGATAGTACATATTGTTTCTCCTTGCTTTCTCTTTCACGTTTTATTTTTTCTCTGAGATTCATTGCAGTCTCCTTTCCTTGGCACCTTGATATCACTTTCCTTCTTTGCTCATTGGGAGGCTTTCTGATTCTAATAGTTGCATATCACATGCTATGTTTGGATGCGTTTTACTATTTTCTTTTCCTTGTTCCCTTTATGTCTTCCTTTCTCACTATAATCACACTGGGGGTGGGGATGGGACAGACAAAAAACTACTACGTGGGATACACCAGAAGAGGGCAACCTCAAGCATCATATGGGCTCATACATACTGGAAAGGCAACTCAGGGGAAATATGGGGTCATGAGGGAGAGTCATGCCCTACGGTGTTTGGTCGCGCATACCGGAATTTGTTGTGTCAGTGTAATGTTTATCCGTCTACTGGGTTTGTTTAATCTTTGGATGTTGTCACGTTTCCTCGAACCAGAAGACTCAAAGTCCGAATCTGCATCGCTTTCCGCAGGTATTTTCTTCCTACCCCCTTTGGTCATGCGCTTTCTGTGCGTGTATGTGCGCATGCCAAACCCTAGATATCCCGTCCTAATCCGATGGCCCCAGTCCCATTGAGAATGGCAAACATGGACCGGAGCCCCGAGAGGAGGGAAAGGGTGTCATAACAATTTTCGTTTTTTCTGGTAGAGGGAGCATCCCATTGGCTCGATTCCTGCCCCAAACAGACCAATATTTTCTTTTCGACACTCAAACCTTTTTCGTGATGATCGCTCACCGCATCCATCGGGAGGTGATTTCAAATTTGATGTCATTTGCTGGGGTTTGGGGATGGCTTGTTTTGTGAATGCTTTTCGGTAATAGGCAGTGTTAGTAGTGGTCTCTAAGCGCCGTGTCCCCTTGGAAAGAACGCCCGCAGTTGAACCTTGAACAGGAACCCTGGTTCGGGTCAAGGTTCCTGTGGGGCAGGGGGAGGAGGGAAGAGGGAGAGGGGGATGTACTGTACAGTGTATGTACAGTGTACACTATCGTGTTAAGTTAATGGTCCCGCCCTCAAGTTACGGGCACCACACACCTAGCTAGTTCTAGTAGCTAGCACTTAGTTACCATGATGTATGGCTGGGCCACTACGGCAGGCCTACGGGCTACTACCTCAGGTACCCAACCGGGCAAACTGAACTTACCGTGCAGCCCAAACGTTTCTACCCGGCCCAGCCTCAGGCTTCAATATCCCAGATGCCTGGCTGCCTGAGATGCCTGACGGCCACCTTCTGTATGTCCTGTGCTGTATGTACTGTACCATGCGCCTGAGATTCCTCCTCACCTGAGACAGGCTGCTACTACATAGTATGTATGTATGTATGTATGTATGTACCTCGCCTGACGTAACCTTGTCTTCGCCCAATCTCTTTGGCCCCAAGCCCTGCTTTTCTCCAGACATCATACATACATACTCTTGAAACTGATCCCAACATCGAAAAAGCACTTGATGCTTTCTGTCTGCCTGCCTGCCTGCCTGAACCAGTCTGACTCTGACCACTACTCGCCAAAATACGATGTCATGTTACGCGTGGACTTTTAAGCCACCGTCACACCCAATCAGATGGATCATGCTGGAATAGGATATCTGCTGGGTACAGTAAGAATGTTGCCGGGGATCTTCCGCACTGCGTTGGGACAGCAGAGACCGTACCTTTTTTTTTTTTTTTCTATCGGTGGTTGTTGGGCTCTTGGTATCCCGGATGTATTCGACGAGGGACGGATAGGCCTTGAAGCATGGAAGCCTGGACCAGACCGCAGCGAGGCGAGGCGAGGCTAGACCCGACGAGGCGAGACTTGGATCTCCAAACGAATCTGTTAACATCAATCTAGACGTAGATGATACGAGACGGGGAACAGAACGGCCACTCCCCCCACCCCCAGAATCAGACTGTGGCGTAGGCGAGGCGAGTCTCGAGCTTGGGCGATGCTCTGTGCACGAGTCAGGACGAGCAGGGCCACAAAGGTACGGAGTGTCTCATTCTGCCTATATTGTGCATATCTACGGCACAGTAATCTCTTCGAAGACTGGTGCCAGCACAAATGAAGGAACGACAGGAATGACAAAGCCACTCTAGTGTGAGGTTTAAAACGAACAGACCCTCTCCGCCCACTCCAACCTCGTGCAATTCCCAAATATCATTATCATTAGTTAGCACTCCGCGAAAGTTAATGTAGACTAAGAAACAGAGATCTTCAATGCAGCGAGTGCGCCTCGTCTACCGATACTCTATAAGGAAAAGGTTAGTGAAGTTAGTTCGGGACGTCTAGCGACAGCCCCCTGTCCTCCATCAACTCAGCAATACTACGTTCGGACAGCTCTGGAAGAAGGCTGGTGAGAATGGCTTCCATGATAGAGTAGATCAGGTGTTTGTTGCAGTAGTCGTCGGAGAAGAGGTCGAGGATCTCCTCAATGCATGCGAGAAGATATACCTCTTCCGCATCGTCGATTGGTGCAGGCGACGGTGACGGCGATAACGAGGATGATGGCGAAGTTTGTTTGTTCGACGGCACATCATCCACTTTACCATGAGTTGACAGGATAACGGCCGGGGCGGCGAAGAATTGCCGAACGATTGGGCGAGGCACCCGAGACAGGATGCTGGCCGCGCAGCGTCGCTTGACCGATGCGAAATCAGGCGTAGAGGGTCGCGGGTCCGGCGATAAGGGCGCTGTCGATGAAAGACCAGTCGTTGAGACGCTACTGCAAGCGTCACTTGCGCCAGCGGTCTCGCTAACAGGGTCTTTGGTGATGGCGATAGGAGGCGTGGGAGGTTGCACAGACAGCTGCGGAGCCGATACCGCCGTGGTCGCCGCCGCCGGACGAGCGTTCAGTGGGAAAAGCGCCGCTCTGGTCGCCAGAAGCAGGTTTGGTAATAAAGCGGGGGTGAAAATATAATCCTGGATGGTCTCGTGAAGGAACCTAGTAAAGGCAAATGTAAGATAACAGCTAGGAGCAGGGGTGAAGGGGGTCAGAAAGAGCATCGGAGGCGATCTGACTTCTAAGGACGGTAATGGAGGACCTCGATACTATGGAGAAGCGGTTGACCCCGACAGACCGAAAATGTCAAATGGTAGAGGGATCTGCCTGGCCACAGAGACACGACGGAAGAGCATGGACCACCGATTGGTGCGTTTGAGATACCACCAGTAATCCTGAATATGACGGCAGGTTGGAAAAAGAGCAAGGTGGATATTTGTTCCCCGGACAAGAGAGGTGCAAGGCAGCTCATACGTTGGAGAACACGGCATCTCCCCTTAGCCTCTCCCGTAACGTGTCCATATGCGCCATAAGACACAGCTGGGATACAGACTCAGATATTCGAGCGCGAGGGATTTTGATGATTGGTCGAAAATTATGGGAACAGGGTAGCAATTTGCTCTGTCCCTGCAAATGCCCCCGAAATAAGCAGCCAGTCAATTGATGAGTGGAAGCATAATCTTCACAAATGATTTGCGGTGGTCACTTAGTGTTTGTTTGTGACCTAAAGGCTAGGGAGCGTCATTTACCTGTGCAAGGATCACTTTAGCCTTTCCTTCAACTAGCCTTTCGAAAGGTGTGTTCAGATGGTTCAGACGCATTCTCGAGTTTCTTTGTTCCTCGTTGTAGCATTGTTTGACAGCCAGGCCGTGCGTGGGAGAGCACGGGACGGAAGGGCCGGTCCCGTCCCTCACCGGTCATGAAAAGGCTGGTGCACTTGGTGCGATGGGGATAGAATGGTTGACAGGAGGTCGCAGACTGTCCAAGATGGACCTGACTCGGCATGACCGACATTCAGTCAGAGTAGAAATGGCATGACTTGAGTTGGAAGTGGCCGAGGCAGGGCCCGGTCGCGATTTGTCAATCAATTGATTGATTGATTGATTGATTGACCGACTGATTGATTGATGAAGAAGTGTGAAGAAGAGACGGGACCACCGGCTCGTAATGGCCATTACGCGGGTGGTATATTAACCGTAAGCGCCGGTCACGGTCTGTAATGACAAGACCACCCTTGCACGAGCGAATCAGAGCCAGATTAAGGCAAATGCAGAAGTCGGCCTGTGCATCCACCAGCAGATCAAGTGATCGTTGCAGCATGCGAGCAATGCGCATCCCATATGCATCATCGACGGCCCACCGGATCCTGCTCCGTCATCCTAATCTCCAAGTAATGACCACCAACAGTGCTGCACGACTTGTCCACGCCAGTGTAGATCATAGTTCGGAAATCGAACCGCACCGCTTCTCCACAGGTCAAGAACAACCACCAATTCAATTTTGTCGGCGTCGCGAGACAATGGAAGTGCTTGGCAAAAGAGGGGCAGAGGGGTGCGAGAACTCGAAATAAACATGCAACTCACCTATTGAGAACACTATCGGTATCACCTAATCTACCTGGACCCGCCAGGATCAAGTGTTGAACCAGCGCGAGACAACCCCCAAGCCATGGCATCCGCCGAGGTACATCTAGCAGTTGAGCGAGCATGCCGTAGAGCCGATACTTGAGCACAGGTCGCTTCCTCGAGCTCGTGCACATGCCATTTGTCTCAATTGCTTTGCTGATTGGTGAAGTGGAAGTCCGAGAGGAAGGCGCCGGATTTGTCGATGAAACACGAAACAAACCTATTATAATGAAGTGCAAGGCCACATAGACGGTATATCCAAATTGCAGAAGCTGCCACGCCCAGTCCGGGATTCGTACTGGGGTCTGTGGATGTGACGAGCCTTTCAGCAGCTCCTCCCGCGATGAAATTAAGCCGTACTCGTGTAATCGGGAACGCTGACGGGACTGAGCTGTGATTGCATCCTCCTTGCGACTGTCACGTCCGGCATTGTCTACCAGTTTTGTGATACTCTCCAGTATGAAACACCCGTCACTCATTTTCCCGGCCACTCCATTGCCCAGGATAAGATCTGCCATTATATCGCATAGCAAGGTCCGTAGACAGACGTTCTCGAGATCTTCCGTGGGAAGAAGAATCGCAAGCGCTCCTTGTACCAGCAATTGCCGGTATGTGGATTCGGCTTGTTGTTGTCGTGTCATGCTCTGGGCATCTGACGGGCTCGGAACTGGTGAAAGACCTGGATGAGGATTCAAGGAATGATATATCTCGCGAAGTGTTGGCGATAGTTCGCACAGCTCCGACTGCTGTTTGGCTAGCCTGTACGCTGCATCAGGCCATCGATCGAGTTAGCCTTGAACTGATTATGCAAGATCAATAAAGGTCGCGAAATGCAACCACACTTACAACTGATATGCGTCTCTACCAGTGCTGGAACATCATCGAGTGCTAGCTGTGCGATGTCCGTTTGGCGCACCCTCTGCTCGAGCGCCCGGGTGCAGTGCGCGATAACCTGTATGAGCTCGTTGATGAAGACCTGATCCGCCGTGATTTTTGAGTACCAAGAAAGAACAAACTCCTTGACCACTATGGCAATTAAGGCGTAGAGTTGAAGATCGAGTTCGTTTGAGCTTGTCAAAGGGGGCAGCAAGTCCTCTAGAGGTGGGGGCGTGGAAGCACCGCCATGGTTACCCGGCTGCGGACACAGAACGCGTCGGATCAGAGCAATAGTTGCCTTTTCGCTTGTGGAACTAAGCGTCTCATCACGGCTGGATACCTTAGATGGTTGAGGGCGCATAGGTCTGGGTGATGGTGGCTGCGATAAATACGAGGAAGCTGACAAGGCTGTCGACTTGGAGCTGGAGGTTGTCGGGCCAGACTTGAGTTGCGACAGCGGATGGAGACCCGGGCGAAGAGGGTCGCTGGTCATTTCATCGCCAGTGAAGAACCAATACCAGATCGCTAAGGTTTGATATGTACAGAGTGAGGGATCTTATTGCAGAGTTCTCAGACACAAAGCTCCATCAGCTAATGCCAGCGCGTTATGGAGAATGATGTTGATGAAGCAACTGCGACAGCCGGAGGGGAATGACCTATCTATGCCGCCGCTATTTCCTAATGCAGAAGGTAGGGCTTAGGGCTGTTGTTGCCCGCGATAAGGCTTATCGCCGCCGCATTTCTTATCGCAAAGTCCCCGCATCCCACCCCCGTTGTGGTTCATCTTCTTCATCCCGCAAATTAATCCTACTTGAGTCACTGCCTGAGCTTTTAGCTATTCCTCAAGCAACGGATTAACTCAATGGCTTCCTCAAAAGATACCCCAATTCCTTTGTGGCTTGACTGTGACCCCGGTAAGCAGTTCTTCCCCCAGTTTGCAACATACTGCAGACCTTCCTTCAACGCCTGTATGGCCAACTTGGCTGACCAGTGTTTATAGGTCACGATGTAAGTGCAAAAGATCCCGATATCTTACAATGCAGAGCACTTTACTTATTGACCCTCCGGTGAGCGTGCTCAGGACGCTTTTGCCATTCTTCTCGCCGCGCATCATCCCTCGTTGAAGCTTCTCGGTATCACTACCATTCATGGCAACTCCTCCCTAGACAATACCACAGTCAACGCTACCAGGGTTCTGGAAGCTATCGGTCGTTCAGATATTCCTGTGTATCCTGGAACCAAGAAGCCCTTTTGTCGGCCCGCCGTTCATGCACCTAACATCCACGGTAGGTCTAAAATAAGGTTGGCAGGTTATTAGCCTCACAATGCTGACTCTAACGCTGCTAGGCGACTCTGGTATCGATGGAACAGAGCTTCTCCCCAAAGCCACCACGGCTCCCATCACTGACAAGAACCCCATCCTTGCCATGCGCGACGCGCTTTTGGCTGAGCCCAAGGGAACGCCCTGGGTCATTGCCACCGGCACACTGACCAACGTGGCCCTGCTGTTCGCTACATTCCCGGAAGTGGTCGATCACATCCAAGGACTGAGCATCATGGGAGGGGCTGTGGGTAACGGTTTCACCGATGTCCCTATGAGTAGGATAGAAGGCCAGCACGACCGGATCGGAAACGTGACCCCTTTCGCGGAGTTCAACATCTATGTGCGCATTTTCCGTTACGCCCGCCCTTCTGCTCTGCACTAGCTGATAAATCCTCTACAGTGTGATCCCGAGTCGTCTCAGTCCATTTTCAGTAACGCCACACTGGCGTCCAAGACGTACTTGATCGCCCTTGACTTGACTCATCAGGTCCTGGCTAGCGAGAAGGTGCGGAACCTCGTCCGCCACGGCGTGGATGATGCCTCCGTTCAGCCCTCGACCCTTCGACAGATGCTGTATGAGCTACTCATCTTCTTTGCCTCCACCTACGAGAATGTGTTTGGATTGGCCTCGGGTCCACCCCTGCATGACCCGCTTGCCGTGGCTATCATTCTCTCGAACTTGAATCCTCTCTACGCACAGAACCACCCCGAAAAGGCTCTGAAGTTTAATGACCGCAATGGGGAGCGGTTCGCTGTTAACGTGGTCACCAACGGTCTTCATTCAAGCAATATGGAGCTGGTTGGACATCTGGGTCAGACCGTTGCTAAGCCTGCGCCGAACGCGGTTTGCATTCCCCGGAGTGTCGATCTTGATGCTTTCTGGAACATGATCAACGATTGTCTTGGACGTGCAGATGAGCTGAACGCTGTGCGGAAGGCGTGATTTGGCAGTGCGAACTATCGGCTTGACTCCGGACTGCACCTCGGAATATAGATGGACATAGAGATTCTGGTGCTAGATTCTTTTCTCGATAGAATTTTCAATTGGAAAGCATCTTTCTGTTATTTCGGGATATATCCTCAAATTCATCGCTCAATCTATTCTGTTCTTTTTCCACAATGTATAACACACTACCATTCGCGGATTCCACCATCGGAGCCATAGAACTCCTTCGGCAGCCAGGGCTCTGCATTCGCGGCCACTCGTCTTACCGTCTCTTCATCAACCTCAATCCCCAGCCCCGGCGCTGTGAGAGCGTCTACATATCCATCTTTAACCGCAAATACACTCGCATCCTTGACGTAGCTGGTGATATCGTACTCTCCCGCCTCTGTATTGTAGTGCATGCCCAAACTCATCTCCTGAATGACAAAGTTCGGCGTCGCCAAGTCGACCTGCATGCACGCGCTCAAGGCAATGGGTCCCAGCGGGCAATGCGGCGCAATTGCAACATCGTAGGTCTCCGCCATGGAAGCTATCCGTCTCAGCTCCGAGATGCCACCGCAGTGGGCGATATCGGGCTGCAGAATGTCCACGCTTGCATCCTCTAAGAAACGCTTCACATCCCAGCGACTGTACAAACGCTCCCCAAGCGCGATCGGACACGAGACCTGGTCGGCGAGCTGTTTGATCGCCTCGGGGTGTTCCGAGAGGAGCGGCTCCTCAAGGAATAATGGCCGATGCGGCTCAAGTGCCTTGGCCAGCTGCTTCGCCATCGGTTTGTGAAGTCGGCCATGGAAGTCGAGCGCTGCGTCCAGGCCGAGGGCCTTGACGGTCTTCAGACGCTCGACGCTGGAGTCTAGGACGCTGGGAGAATCGAGCCAGTTCACATCCTCTGTGGCGTTCATCTTGATAGCCTTGAACCCCTGGGCGAGTCGGGCCTTGCCGGCGGCTTCTACATCGGAGGGTCGGTCGCCACCAATCCACGCGTAGACGGACAGTTTGTTGCGGACTTTGCCGCCAAGAAGTTGGTGGATAGGGACTCCAAGTCGACGGCCCTTAAGGTCCCAGAGAGCGATATCGACTCCCGAAATGGCGGACATAAAGACTGGGCCGCCTCGGTAGAAGCCTAAACGCCAGGACATTTGCCAAATGTGTTCGATGTCACTATGGAGGGAGGGTGGTTAGGGCGTACAGCGCTGGCGCTGATGTAAGAGACTTACTCGGCCTCGTAACCTTGAAAACGCTTGCATAGGGCGTTCAAGGTGCCCTCCACAGCCTCGGTGTGCCCTTCAAGGGTGCTCTCACCCCAGCCATAATTGCCATCTTCATCAACCACCTTGACGAATAGCCAGCGTGGAGGGACGCGGAAGTACTCGATCGACTTGATTCTTGCCATTGTGAGACCTGTGTCTGGACAGACTCTATGTGTGAAGCTGCGATTCAGTTGGTTGCTACAGAGTTGAATGTTAAGCAGACGACAACAGAAATAGGCATGGCTGTAAGAAGAGGTCGGAGTTGCTCCGCTTGCCAGGCCGAATTACCGACAAATTGACCCCAAATGGGGTATGGAGACTCCATAGTCATTTCATGCTGTTCTTGGCATTATTGCATCCGAGGCTCTGGGCTTCAGCGGCCAGAAGATCCATATCAGATCTAGAAGTGTGATGTGCTACCCTTAGGGTGCTAAGTGGGTTATTGTCTTGCATTAGTCCAAGGATAAGCTTAACCGTGAAAGCTCCTCAGATACAATCTGCATCCAGTGGAATATCGGCTTCTGATACAGAAACTGGAATCGAATATGATCATGAGATCGTGGAGGTCGAAGCAGAGAGTTAGGAGGAGGGTTTTGACTATCAATCAGATGATGATGATCATGATCATGATCGGAGAGAGGCTCGGTCAATACGAGAGGGAACGCCAGGTATGTCATAGTGCAGCTCCATGACTTGTGTCTTTGGGCAGAGAGGTGAGGTGTAGATGTAGAGCCCAGCCCTGAAAGGAGTGGATAGAAGTCAAGAAGTACACTTCTATGTAGTGGGGAATCAATTGGAGAAGCCAAACCCAAATACGAGTCAATGTTGGGGAAAGAGAGAAAAGAACCGGATACGGCAATCCAGTGACTCCGGGCGGCTTTGCGACGACTTGCTCCGCATTCGACTCTGACTTCATCTCCAACAAACAACTCTCTCTTTCTCTCTCTTCTTCTCGCTCTCCCACGACTGCAGCGTCATCGGCCTTTCTCTCGATTATTTTCCACGACATCGCTTGGAGCACTACTGCCGGAATCTCCCTTCAAAAAGACTCGACCCCGCCCAGTGCATGCTCGAGGCTCAAACCCACTTTTCCCCTTTCTGGCGGGCTGCCTTTTCGCCGCCACTCCACGACCACCTGCTTCTCGTCGCTCTACCGGATCATGCCCCCGGCCAACTCGCCATCTGTATGTGTGCCTCTATGCGATCTGGTTGATTGTCTGTTATTGCTTGGGTATGGAGAGATGTCCAGAACATGACTCGGTTCGTTGGCCGTCTCGCTCGTGCATACAACCAATGACTGAGCAGCCATTATCATCATTTGACATCCGGCCCTATCGTGATAACAGATGGAGTCTTAATCATACAATAGTTCTTTCAGACAGGAAGCTTTTCTTGGCTAAGATCTAACTTTCGGCACACAGGATCCCTCCTCCCAGTCTTCTTCTGCTTCCTCCCTGCGGCCTGTCCCCGTTCCTGTACCCTCTCTCCCCGCCGCCGTGTCCGATGACGCCCATGATGATAACGTGAGCTTTCTGCGATCGCGTGTGCGCTCCCCACCCGACTCATCTTCCTCCCTCAGTCGCCAGCGCCGTGGTCGACTACAAAATTTACACAATTTGATACAATCCGATCTCGCATCATTCGAATCGGAGGACTTCTCGAATCCGCGGATTGAAAGCAATCGTCGCATCCCGATTGTGCGCCGCCAGCGCGACAGTCCAAACACCCACCACAGCACAACCTCCAATCCCAACAGCTTGCCGAACTATGAGGGCAGAATGTCAAATCCGCGCTCGCTTTACGGATGGGCACCCGCTTCTGACGATGACGACGATGAGGAAATGAGCTACGAGCCGCTACATGATAGCAATGCCATTTCCTGGTTTGGCCGCTTTTCGGAACGATATACTGCCTTTCGCGATCCACGCCGTGAGGCTGCCGGTCGGAGTCCACCCACAGCGACAGAAGAGCCGACGGAGAACAACAATCGTACCTCGAACGAATCACCGTACACCATGGCAGACGCTTTGGTGCAGTCAATACGCCGCCAGCCACGCCCCCCACGGACTAGGACCCTGCAGAATTACTTGGTTGAGCGGGAACGTGCAAGTCAGGCAGCAGACGAACTGAGGGAACGGTCTGGCACCAGTTCCACCTCACGAGCCTATCGATTCTTGCCCAGCATTCGCAGCGAACCCCAGCGGCCCCTGACACACAATGATCTTCGCGCTCGGATCAGTGCTCATCGACAGCTACATATGGATAACGCCCCAAGTCCTCGGTTAAAGGAGACAATCCGCTACCTGGACCGGTTACGTTATTCGACCTCGTTCGAAGAAAGCTTATCATCAGCCGCGGCCGGAGGCTTCGTTCACCTCGACTTTCTCAATGGGAACGAGGATGATTTCATCATCGACACTGCATCGATCGCGCCGCCGCCTGAATGCTCATGGCTCCGACCTGGTGTGATATTTTCTGGGTCGCAACGAGCTGCCAGCAGTGCCGGTGCGTTCTTTACACAGCGAGCTAGTCCGTCATCACCGCACGATCCTCTTGTCGTCAACAGCAGTGATGCCAACCGCATCAGCGTGTCCACGAGTACCGGTCGGCGATACATGGCCAACAATATCTACAATATTGGAGCTGTCAAGGATGAAAATTGGCCGGTCAAGGTGACCATCCACAACATCAATCATGAAGACATGACATTGGCCGGCACGATGGAAGCCTACAACATCCCCGACAAGACGTCCCCGTCCCATGATGCCCATATCATCACATATCTTGAGGGCGAGATCATTGACTTCAACAAACATACCCTAGAGACGAAGAATTTCAAGGCCGACGCCGAGATCGACAGCACGTACTGGCGAGAGCTTCAGCCATTCAAGAACCTGACCGATGAAGAAATGACGCGGAACCTAGTTAGTCGCAAATGGGTCACCGAGGCCTTGTCGAAGGGGTGGATCCTGATGAGATGGAAGGGTAAGTGGACCTGTACATCGGGTCTGTGCCTTTGGAGGAGTGTACTGACGGACAGTTCAAGAACGATGTTTCATCACCCCGACCGACTCACGACAAGGCCTAACGATCTCTGGGTTCTATTACATCTCGCTGAACCGCGAAAATGGACATATCGAAGGATTGTACTACGACCCGGGCAGTTCGCCCTACCAGCAACTATCACTAAATCCCGAGACACGGAAGATGGTGCGTCCGTCTTACGGATTCCGATGAGTGGTTTCTGCATAGGACTTGTGGGGGGGAGTAGTTATGTGCATAGCCGGTGTTTTTGTCTTCTTTGCAAATCATTGGGGAAACTTGGAGCAATCTCAGAAGCTGTCAAGCTATGTACATATTTTTTTTTTGAATCTAGGACAGGATCTTAGTATGATGCCATCAGCTGTAAAAGTCGATGAAACCAGCCATAGATCTAACACCACAAACCAGCCACCAAGATCTCCTCCCAAGCACATTCCCCTCCCAACTTACCCGCGAAACCACATCCTACGATATGAGAATCCAAGAAGAGATTGAGCACCATAATCTGATTTAAATTCCTCAACGGGAGCTAGAGATGACCCGCACACATCACACCCGCCTACACATCACACCCGCCTAAGTATCGACAGATATAGAAAACAGGAAAAAAAGATTTGAACATCCCTCCATCCCTTCCTAGATCAACAGCAACCTGTATAAAACCGAATTCACCCAAGTTGTATCGAACCAGAATGCGCCGGCCATCACCCGAATCCGATATTTTCCTCAGATCACAGCACTCCACCTATTTCCATACGCCCCCCGGCTTCTGGGCGTGTCTCCTCAAGACAAGAAAAAGGTGTCAGAGGAAATGCATGCAACAGAATGCATACATTTACTGCTCAGTCTGGAAGTAGTTAAGGAGGACGGAGCGCTCCTGGGACTCCTCTCCCCAGTCCTTAACGACGACGCAGGAGCAGTTGACGACCTTGCGGGCGTTACCCTCACGGTCGAGCTGGCCTGTTTTCACACGGAGACACATCGGTTAGCAAATGGTTTTTTTTTTTGCCCTCAATGACTGCGGAGCATTTCTTGATTTCTCGCCCGGAGCAAAGGGTCAAACGTACAAAGACCAACCCACTCGCCGAGGAGCTTTCCATCGGGGACCTTGATGAGGGGGATCTTGTGCTCGGAGCACAGGGCCACGACGAGCTTCTTGTAGGCCTCCTCCTCGCAGCCCTCGTTCAGGACACACATGTGCGCCTGGCGACGGTCGAGGGCCTTGGCGGCCTCGCGCAGACCACGGGCAAGACCGTCGTGGATCAGGGAGATGCGGAGGACACCCTTGAGGGCGTCGAGGACGGACATCTGACCGCCGGCACCGGCGTCAGCCGAAACCTCGACCTCATCGGCAGCGACGGGGGGGTTGGATTGGGTCTCTTCTCCGTCCGACTAGAATTTTTTGAGCATTGCATGGTTAGTTGTGGCTTTTTGGTGACAGGGTTGTGCCTGTGGGGGAAGGAGAAGGAGTCCAGTAAGCGGATGGAGGCGTATATCAAACTCACCATTTTGTATGTTGTATAGTTAGACTGGTCTGTCGGATTATCCTCAAAGAGTTCGAGGTGGTTGTTCTTGTAAAGGCTAGTGGTGGTGGTGGTGCGGCCAATTTTGCGCCGCTCTCGCCTAAATGTGTGCCCTACAGAGTTTACGTAATAGAGTAGTCACGTGTTGTATTATAAAGCACGTGATGTGGGGTCGGATGGTGAATCACACTAGCCCCAGAACGGAACCTTGTTGGTGGTGTTCTACATTACTGTATGTACTGTTACCACTCTACCCTATTAGATAGCATAGAACTTGTAAAGAATCTCGGGATATCATGATATCACGCTATTCAAGCATCACACATCAGGTATCATAGTCGTACATTAAGTTTCCACCTGTACAGGCTAGCGCCAGATTAAATGACCGCTGAAGCTGAAAGAACAATTAGACGTATGTACTAGGCCGACTATGCCCATAGCCATTAGTCAACCCATTTCCTCCCAGTAACCCCGGTCCTTCCTCAATATGCGGCCCCGATATATGTCCATTGGCCTGCGGCATTTCGAGGGCGGGTTGCATTTTAGGCTCCTGATCAATGTGCATCTTGAGCAACTGAATGTCGAGCCCGTGAAGGTGCGGAATGTGAGGGACGAGATCCATGAAATCGGAGAGCTGCTGCAGTTAGCATCTGGTGGACCAGTAAGATGCATCAAGGGAGTTTACCTTCAGCCAAAATACATGCTCCATTTCGAAGTATTTAGGCCGCGCTTCACTATCCCGTTGCATGATCTGTCTAAATGACGAACGGAGAAATTCAATCTCGTCTGCTTGAACGAGCATCCTTCGCGTGACTCGCCAGAGATTCGTCCGCTGGGTAGGGG